AATTTTTCATTTCATTTTTATTTGTCATTTTATTTTTATTTGTCATTTCATTTTTATATTTGTCATTTCATTTTTATTTGTCATTTCATTTTTATTTGCCATTTCATTTTTATATTTGTCATTTCGTTTTTATTTTTTTTTCATTACTACAGGTCAAATGGCTAGTAATCAAGAAAACTCAAAAGATGCAAATGCTCCTGAAAATGCTCCTGAAAATACTCCAGAAAATACTTCAGAAAAGACTTCAGAAAAAGATATTACACGAGGTATAACTATTATGAGGGGAATCATCCGTGATAGAGATAGAGGAGTAACATATAATGTAGATTGGAATGATAATGACCAACTAATTGGGTCTAATGCTGCAAAGTTGACAAGCTACATTGGTACGCTTGTTCGTATACACATTCTGATCACCACTCCTAGATGGAAAAGAGGAGAGTTGGATGAGGCTAAGGAGAAAGTTTGGACTGAGATAAAGGTACATATATGGTTTTTGTTATTTGCTTTATCTTGACGATAATATGTGTTTAAATTTCTTTTACTAACACACTTTATGCGTATGTTTTTTTGTAGAGGTCTTTTAACATTGAAGATACTCGTAAAAAGTATATAATGGGTTTGGCTGGAAAAAGACACAGAGGGTGGAGAACATTTTTAACAAACAAGTATCTTAAAGATGATGAAGGAAATTTTCTTGAAGAGGATCCGGAACGTCCAAAGAAATATGAGAACTTCATTACACCTGAAGAATGGGTTGGTTTTGTAGGCCAAAGAAGAGACGAGAATTTCAAGAAAGTGAGTGCTATCAATCGCGAGAGAGCGTCAAAACCCGCATATCCATACAAAAAAGGGTGTTTGGGATATGCTCGCTTAGAGGAAAAAATTGTAAGTAAATATAAACTCTACGATCTTATTAATTCTCTCAATGTGTTATAATTGATGATCTTAAGACTTGTGTCAATGCGTAGTTAGAAGAGACGAAAAGTGACGCAACATCACTACCGACACATTTGTTGTGGAAGGAAGCCCGTGTGGGCAAGGATCAAGCTGTTAATCCCGATATTCAACATGTGTATGATGAATGTGTAAGTATAAGATTGTGTCTTTAGTTAAATCAATTAATGTTTATTAATATTTATATAATTTTTTATCTCCACTAATAATTTTCGATATGTAAATGAATTACAGGAGACCTTGTCGCAATTGGTATCCCCAGTTGAGGACCATCAGGATACCAGAAGCGTACTTAGTCGAGCACTAAATATTGCTGAGTATCCGGGTCGAGTGAGGGGTAAAGGTCATGGTGTGACTCCAACCTCTTTGTATAAGCATCCAAGGAGAAGAAATCCTAGCAATGCAGAAGTGATGCAAACATTACAGGATTTACAAGCTCAAGTCCGTGAATTGCAGAAGGATAAAGAGAGATATATGGCAGAAAAGAGCAGTTCACAATTGAAAGAAACTAGTGACAAAGCTAGTATCAACTGTCAGCATAAATTTCCCGAGGTAATTTTCAATATATATCCGTTATTATTATAGAATATTTTTAGTCACTTCTAACGGTTATTATTGGTTTAGGGCATTTCATCTTGTCAGCTATACCTATCATCGCCGAATTATCGACTAGTTGGCAAGGGAAAAGTCCATAACACTTCGGGAGATTTACTTCACCATAGACCGCTTCCGGATGGACACATGAAAGTATCGGTTGACATTGCTTTAGATATGGATGCGTTGCTGCCGGTACCCGACATTGTTGCTGAGACCACATTGTTGCGAGATGCAATAGGATCTTTTGTTGCATGGCCATCAGACCTCATTTTCATAGATGATCAGGTATGTTGAAAACAATTTTGAATCTTTAAGTATTCAATTGTCAGTTCTGACCTCAGTTATTTCCACGGTAATTATAGACTCCTACAACACCCGCATCTAAGGGTAAAGGGATTTTGCGGCACGACGAGTCTGATGTATCACAAAAAGAGGCACGTTTAAAGTGTTAATTATATGATCCGAATAAAAAACTGCATAATTTTATAATTTAACTGAGTCTATATGATTTTTAGGTACCTTTTCAAGGGTCACAACAAGTGAGCCAGAAGATCGTTGGCTTACCACCCAAGAAAAGGGTGCCTACTAGATTTTTCCCTCGATACCGGCAGTGTCTTGAAACAATAGTGGGAACCACAGATTTGATGGATGGTGGTATTCGTCAAATGGATATGGATCAAGGTATCTTTGGTTTTCCTTGCACCGAAATAATTGGACATGAGGACGTGGAACAGATTTTCCGTCATAAAGAATTGGGCGTCAGTATTATGAACGCATACATCCGGTAACCCCCATCTTTATATTATGTAATTAGCTGAAATCTTTTTTAAACATTTCAATGAATATAGTCTAATATTAATTATGTTTTTATTTAAGGCTGTTATATGACAAATTGATGCGCGGGAATCAATTGTCAAACAGATTTCATTTCGTGTCTTCCTCCCGTGTCAGCGGAGCGACAATTGGTAGGGAACCGGAATCAGTAAGAGAGCACTTAGTCGAAAGATTCATGGCAACTGGAAGTACAGAAAGCTTATATCTTTGGGCGTATAATACTATTCCTACAGGGTTAGATTTTCATTCTAAGTTCATTTTAATATTTGTAATTTTTGCGTAGAAAATTTTCTTTTAAACTGTTGTTTTAATTTATAGACGTCACTGGTTGTTGGTTGCTATCGATCCTATAAAAGAAGTGGTATATTATCTGAATTCGATTGACGGTGATTGGACAAATCATCCGGATATGAAGTTAATGATTGATACTTAAGTGAGATTATTCTAAATATTTGTGTGTGTTTATATATTTAATTATTTCTGTGACATTGTTCTAAATATATATTTTTATTTTGTTAGAGCGATACAAGTATTCCGGTGTCAAAGAGAAGCTCGGGTACGACGGTCTAAATCAAACAACATTAATTGGATCAAAGTGCAGGTATATTAATTTCCACTATTTTGCTTATAATATTTATGCTATTTGATAAAACAATACAACTATATATTCTTATTTGTTTTTCTATGTAGTGTCCTCAACAGCAAAACGGTATAGATTGCGGATACTTCGTTATGCGGTTTATCAAAGAAATCATTCAACTGAATCAAATAGAGATTCCAGTCACGGTATGGATTTATAACTTATGATTTGTTTTATTATTTCTCGAATATTTCATATAATTTTTTACTTTTAACTAAATCATGCATATTATATTTTGTTATGTAGTACTTCGATGAGTACAAATGTGCATATTACACGAAACTTCAGTTGGAAGAAATCAAAGAGGAATTGTGTCAATATTTTATTGAGAAGAGAATCATATAAGGACTGGTTTAGTTGTTGTTATGGTTGATTTTGTAAGATTGATTTTGAGTTACAATGCTGATAACAATGGTTTATATATATTTTGAGGTACAAAAATGGTGTATATATATTTTGGATTACAATGGTATACAATGCATTACCGCGATTTATGAATTACAGGTTATGCCAACTGGTTTATATAAATAATATGCTGCAAACAATGCAGGTATATGAATTATATAAATTATATCTCTAAAAAAAACACCCTATGAAAGCGCTTTTTAAAGAAAAATGCTGCCTTAGGTAGACCTATGAAAGCGCTTTTTCACATAAAGCGATGTCTAAGGTAAACATATGATAGCGCTTTTCCCGGCAAAAGCGCTGCTAAAAGACAATCTATGAAAGCTCTTTTCCAGGAAAAAGCGCCACCAATGAAAGCGCTTCTTTATAAAAAAGCGCTGCCAAAAGCCTACTTAAGAGAGCGCTTTTTAGAAAAGCGCTGCCAAAATCCTACTTAAGAGAGCGCTTTTTAGAAAAAGCGCTGCCAAAAGCCTACTTAAGAGAGCGCTTTTTAGAAAAAGCGCTGCCAAAAGGGTATTTAAGAGAGCGCTTTTTAGAAAAAGCGCTGTCATAGGTAGACCTACGAAAACGCTTTTCATTAAACAAAAAGTGTTGCTACAACCTATAGCAGCACCACCTTAGAAAACACTTTTAAGCGCTTTTAAAGGCAAAAAAAGCGCTTTCGTAGGTCTTTTTTGGCGTAGTGTACTCTAATTTATTCATTCCTTTTTTCATTGTATTTGTTACTCCACTTACTTTTTAAACCAATGTTCCTAAAATTACATTATTTATAAATATTACTCTAATTTATTCATTCCTTTTTCATTGTATTTGTTTTTTATTATTTCACTTACCTTTTAAATCAATATTTCTAAAATTACATTATTTGTAAAAAAATAAAAAAAATTATTCTATCAAATCTTCTCATTTATGTTTTATACATTGGGCCTGTGGTCCATTACTATTTCAATGTTGCAACACTAAATTACTTATTATAACTTTGATATATATTCAATTCTTTTCCTTTTACATTTTTACTTTATTTATATATATATATATTCTAATCTTTATAAAAATTTACATTCTACTTAATTATATATATTTTAATAAAAATTTACATTCTACTTAATTATATATATTTTAATATTTATATATTTCTTTTTTATTATGTTTTAATTTTTTAATTACGGTAAATATATATTTACTTCATCAATGATCATAATAATTAGAAAAAAATATTTATTTTTGTGAAAAAATTCAATATTTAACAAACGAGTGTTGAAACTGGTATCCGTGCGAATGTACTCAAGGGTATCCCAGTACTTATTATAAAGATTATTATAAGATTAAAATTGCAATATTCCGTATAGTAAAACCAAAAAGGAAAGTAAACAAACAAAAATCAATAAGTCATGAGTGGACATTCCATTTGCTCCCAATTGGAGATAAAAAGTTAATAACAAACACACTATAGTACCTACTTTTCAAACCACAAAATCATTATTTTTCTTGATTACCACTACAACTATCAATTTAAAACAACAACTTGCATATGCCACCAAATCATTGACTAATTTACAACAACTTATCACACGCTTCCAATAATAGAATTGCTATACCCAGTCTGCAAATCATAGAATCTAGACCAAAGCATCACTCCTCCATAATTTCTTGACTTCTTAATCACAGGCAAAATCTCAGAACTCACCACATCTGCCGGAACAAAACCACTTCCGGCAGCCGCCGTAGCCGCCGGCAACCCCAAGAATATCTTCCCAGATGGAACATTCTTTGTCCATTGATTCCAAGAACTCACAAGATTGGTTATGTTACCATTATATTGACAAGGAGGGTTGTTATAGAACTGAACCCAAACAAAGTCGAAAAGACCCGTTTGAAGGGCTGTGCCTAGAAATTTATCAGGAATTGGACATTGAGGAGCTGCACCAAGATAGACCCTTTTTCCAAATCTACAATACCCTTTAAGAAAACGTGCAAGGTGTTGATAGTTTTGTGTTGAACCAAGTTCGATATCGAAATCTATTCCATCTAAAACAGCATCACCTAATGGTCTTGAAGATGACTTGCCACCCAAGAAAGTGTTCCATAAAAAGGTGGACACGTTTCTTGCATCTTCGATTGAAGATAAAGTGTAGCTTCCGATTCCGCCACCGATTGAAAGTAAGACTTTGATTCCTTTACTTTGGCAATCTTTGATTTCGGAGCTGAATTTTGTGCATGAGTTTGTTGATGGATTGCAGTGACCTGCGAGGTTCATTTCGGGGGTTTGACCGTTGCCGAATACGTTGAGGAACGCTATGATAACGTGGGTGTATTTTCCGGTGGCGCATGTTTCGGATAAGGTTCCTTCGTTGCCGTTTTGGCCCCAATAGATTGCTATGCCACCGGCATGGGAAGATGCAACAAGAGTGAGGAATGAGAGAAAGATAAGAGGCAAGAAAGTGTGAGAGGTTTTTGCCATGTTTGTGAAAGTGAAACTTGAGTTTTGAGTTAGGTGTTTTGTGAAGAATTGTTTCTTGTATTTTGGATATTTATAGGATGAGATGAATGACAATTTAGAATTATATTGTAAATTGGAATGAAGTTTGGTCGGTTCCCATTTGCAAAGGATGCTTTTTATTTAGACATATATGAGTCAACTTACACGTTTCATATCTTCATTTTTTTCTTCTTTTATAGACTAGATGCTTAGAACTTTCTTTATTTAATTGAGGATTTTCTTTAAATTTAGATGTGTTGAGTTATGATGACTCACAAAAATCATTAAACACTTATAAAGATATTATCTACTATGATAATCGTATAGTTTATATTGAACGATTATGATGAAATTTAATAGATCAACTAACAAGAAGTTTAGCCTACACAAGTTAAAGTTAACTCAGATTTTTTTTTTAAATAGAAAATGTTTAATTTTTTTTAAAGTCTATTTTGTTAAAACTTTTGGTCAGAAATCATAAATATTTTTTAAGTTTATTGGAAATATTTATTTAAATAAATATAAATAAATTTATTATTAATTATATTATATTTTATACTTTGATATAAAATAGAAAAAAATAAAATTTAATTATATTAAATAATTTATAAATAAATTAAAAAAATCTTATGAATAATAATATAAGTTATTTTCATAAATTCTCTTACACTAATAATCACACAAAACTCATATTACTAAACAAACTTGGATAAATCAACACAGATAAATATTAGTTTATTGATCTTTCAAAATTTGAATCTATTTAAACATTAGTTGGATTTTTTATTTATATATGTTCAAGTACAAGAAAACAATATATTAGTGTGGTGAGTTTGTCGGCTGTTAGTCACCTCGCAAATTAATGCACTTGTGGGGTGTACTTCACCTTGCAACACAATTTTAATAAAAAAATAAATAAATGTTTTTCCATCTTGCAATAAATGGTGGAAAGTTTAAAAATTTTAAAAAGAAAGTTGTTAGGATAAAAACATCCCGCAATTATGTTTTAAAAAAATTGAGGAAAATTATGTCTGGCATTTATTCATGGTACAATTTGAAATTTTTGAAACGAAAGTTGTTAGGTGAAAAACACCCTGCAAAAATTGCTAGATAAAAAACATCCCGCAATTATGTTTTAAAAAAATTGGGAGAAAATTATGTCTTCCATTTACTGATGGCACAATGTGGCCGGTGGACATTTGACTGACACTGACATTACGAGGTGAAAATCATATAACAAGTCTCAACGACTCTAAAAGTTGCGAGATGTTTTTCACCTCGCAAGTTTGCTTTAAATACAACCACTTCAGTTTTTTCCTTTCTCACATTTCAGATTCAACAAATTTCACTCTTTCATTCTCTATTTCTCCCTGTCACGGTTCCACACTTCAAAACCCTCAAAATCTCTCAAAGCTTACATTGTTAACAGAAATCAACAATTTCAAGACTCATAGTTCTTTTCAGAGTTCTTTTCCATTTTTCATCAAATCCATTGTTTAACGTACACGTGAATTAAATTGTTTGTTATTTTATATTGGGTTGTATGTACTGATTTAAATTATGATTTTTATTGAATTTTTTATTATGTAAGTAGTGATGGTTAAATTTGTGTATAATATTTTAGAATTTTTTTGATGAAATTTGTATGATTTTGTATATAAATATGTTAAAATGTTAGAATATATGTATGTTGGAATACTATATGCAGAATAGATAAAATTGTTAGAAATTTGTATGTGAAATTTTTTAGTATGTGAAATTTTTAGAATTAGATACATAATTTTTTTTTGTTTTATTATATACAAATAAATAAATAATATAATAGATTTTAGTTTATTATTTTTGTAAAACAAAAATATATTATTATAAATATGATAAAAATATATATAGAATAATATATTATATTATTATAAATATTAAACTTTGTCAGGTGAAATTCATTCAGCAACTTTCAGTCTAATCAAAATTTGTCAGGTGAAATTCATTCAGCAACTTTCAGTCTAATCAAAATTTGTCAGGTGAAATTCACCTCGCAACCTTCTATCTATTCTACTCTGAATATCCTGCTCTGCTATGCTCTGACATGTGTACTTTGCTCAATTCTGGGACAAGTGTTCCAAGGTGAAATTTACCTGGCAAAGGTTTGAAGTGATAGTCACCTGACTAATTTGCAAAGTACTTTTCTCATTACGACTAACATTTTTATGGGGTATTTGATCAACCCGTAATTATTGTATTGCAGGATGATTTTTGTTTTTGCAATGTGAATTTCACCTGACTAATTGTAGTTTTTTTGTAGGCTAATAAATAACCTATATCTTCGAAAATGAGATTTTCTGACATAAAAATAACCTAATGAAAAATTACATATCAAATTAAACTTTGAATTTTCTAATAAGTTAGAGTTAGACTTGAACAAAATCTAATTCAGCTCAACCTATTTCTACCTTATTAACGATAAAATTAAATTCGTATTGAAAATATAAGTCATTATAAAGATAGATTACAATATTAAATTTATTATATTATTAGTAGATTTTGAAAATGTAATTAAAAAAATAATTGGTCAAAAAAGTATAAGACAGTAAATAACATGTATTTTTGCACAAATTAATGAATAAGAACTATTTATTTATGAGAAAATGAGTGATACACTCACAGTGTAAAAAAGTTTTACACAGTCGACAAATCACGATCATGAATCCACTCAAATTAGATTGACATTTTAAAAAGATTTATATGACATGACAAAACGATATATTTCTATTGGATGTTAGTATATAGAAAAAATTACACTCATCTTTCCTGAGATTTGTTAAAAAGACACTGATACTCCCTCTAGTTTTAAATCATACATTGACCTTCTCTATGTTGGAATAATATAGCAAGTGTGAGTAAGTGAAGAAATAGTCTCACATTGAATGGGAGAACCCACTCACCTATCACCTTAAGATTTTAGGTGGATAAGTGGTGTATCTCTCACAAAGTGCCTAGTCCTACATTATGTATCAATGCTCATAGTATCTCCCCCAACAATTGGTATCAGAGCACCGGTTCAAAATCCACGGGGAAACGAGAAACACGAGTGAACAGTGAGGTATTATTGAGAATCATTTTTTCTTATTCTTTGGGATTTGGGAAACACTTTTAGTGAATTTTTGAGTAAATTGCACAAGGTTGAAGATGAACGAAAATGGAAATATAAATTCCAAGCTTCCAGCGTTTGATGGCAAAAACTGGAATCGTTGGAAGATCTAGATGCGTGTGTTGTTTGGTTCTCAAGATGTGTTAGATCTTGTCACAAATGGCTATGCTCGGTTAGAAGCAGATGCAACAGAGACACAGAAGATAACGCAGAAGGCGCTAAGGAAGAAAGATCAGAAAGCGGTGTTCTACATCCATCAATGTGTAGATGCGAACGTGTTTGAGAAGATTGCTGACTCTGAAACAGCAAAAGCTGCATGGGACACACTGGTCAGATGTTACGATGGTGACACATTAGTGAAGAAGGTGAAGCTTCATTCTCTCAGAAAGCAATATGAGAATCTCAACATAAAGGACAACGAGAAGGTTTCTGAGTACATGTCTAGAGTGATTCTGATCACTAATGAGATGAAAGTTTGTGGAAAAACTATTTCTGAACAAGTAATCATTGAGAAGATATTGAGATCTTTAACTTATAAGTTTGATTACATTGTGGTAGTAATTGAACATTCCAAAGATATGATCACCTTGAGAGTTGAAGAGCTGCAAAGCAGTCTAGAGGCGCATAAGTTTCGTATGACTAAGAGAACTTCTGAGAGAGAAGTAGAGCAGTAGGCTCTAAAAGTAACTTCTGGTAAGAAGTATTAGAAGCAGACTTGGTCAGAAGCCAGGAAGAAAACTAATGGTGGTCAAAGGTCAGGAGCTTCAAACTCTGATAGACAGAAGAATTTCCAAAATGGAAAGGAGAAGTATGACAAGAAGAATGTTCAGTGTTATTGTTGCAAGAACTTTGGTCACTATGCCAAAGATTGCTGGTCAAACAAAGAAAGAAAGTCAAAAGAAGCAAATATAGCCAGAGGAGATTTTGATGATGAATATGTGCTATTGTTGGCTTTTGAACCTGATAATATGAATTCATCAAAATGGTGGTATATGGACACAGGGTGTTCAAACCATCTTACTGGAAACAAGAAATGGTTGGTTGATTTTGACTCTGGGAAAAGTACAAAGATCAGATGTGCTGATGATAAATACCTTAATATAGAAGGTATGGGAAATGTCAGAATCATTCTAAACAATGGGAAAGCAGAAGTGATCCAGAATGTATGGTATGTACCTGGAATGAAAATCAAACTGATGAGTGTGGGAAAACTTGTAAGTGTTTAGTTATTGGCATATATTTTTGGTAAAACCAGGTGTGCGAATGTCATGACTGATGTCATAACATTCTGGTTTATTAGGTACTTTATGCAGAAAAATTATGGCATACAGTAGCTACTGTGTATGAGTGTGTATCTGAGCATTTTGCAAAAGATCACATTTATTGCCTTCTACCAAAATCAGTAAACAGGAATTTTGATGTCATAACAAATGTTAAGACATCATGTACTGATCTAACAGTAGTGCAGTTTGGTTAATTCTGAGTTTTTTCAGGAAGTTGGCTCATTCCTTCCAGAACAAAATCTCCCGTTATCTTTGGGTTAACCTAACTCAACCCTAAACTGGTTGATAAAGTCTTGTGACCAAGTCTTATGGTTAAACCTAATTAACCCTAGCTTTTTGTGGAAACCCTAACTGAAGAAACAGCTGCTATATATTCAACAGGATTGCTGTTTGGAAAATATCCCTTTGGACTGAAGATCAATCAGAAACTGTATAGTTTTAACTGCTGTAATCCAAGCAATTATCATTGTGATAAGTGACTTGGAATAGGTTTTGTTTGTAAGGGTTTTTGTACCACTCAAAGCTTTGAAGCAAGAGTGTTTTGTGTCTCTTGA